CGCATAACTAGGAAATGTACTAATTTTCGCGATAAATTTGAAAGTGGGGAGTTAATTAACTAGTGGTATTAATCTATAAGTTTAAATCATTCATATATGAATTTCTCCAAATTATAATCTTATTCAAAGATCTAGTAAATATACATTTAGTACAAGCACTACAAATACTTGGTAGTATTACAAAGAAAAATATATAAGCATACATAATTAGAAAGTCTCAAATACTGTTTGGCTCGATAAGGTTTGAAGTGAGGGTGTTTACCCAACTCCCTCTTGTCGTTACTATGTAACTATGATAAATAGTCAAGCCTTTTTTGGTATGACTTTCAAAGAGTCGCGTTTTCTTGCTGTTACTCCCATGCTTTCATCCATATTGATAGATTTAGGAGAGACACCATCAGGAAGCTCCCATTCGAATTCATGAAGCAACGATCCCAGAGCGAAATGCATCATTCGATGGCCTAAAGGCAAGCCAACACACATTCTTCGTCCAGCACCAAATGGAATTAGCTCATAATTCTGACCCTTCACGTCTATTTTTGAGCCAAGAAACCTCTCAGGCTTGAAACTCATTGGGTCGTCCCAACATTCAGGATCTCTTCCAATTGCCCAGGCATTTACGAGGACTTGAGTGCCTTTTGGAATGTCGTACCCCATGAACTTAGTGTCTTGAATTGTCTTTCTTGGGATCAAGAAAGGCAGAGGAGGATGTAAACGAAGTGATTCTTTGATTACAGCTTGCATATAAGGAAGATTTTCGATATCACTTTCTTCAAACTTGCTTAATCCTACTACTTTTGATATCTCTGTTTTCACTTTGGCCATTGCTTCTGGATGACGCAAAAGCTCTGTTAGTGCCCATTCTACACTGCTGCTCGTCGTCTCTGAACCAGCTAAAAACATTTCCTGTTGTTTCATACATATGCAACACGAGTTTAAGTTTTATACACTGTCAGTATAAACAATTTCAAGTTTCGAACAGATATAGTCAACCACTTTCACACTAGATCACAAATATGAGATAAGTGTATCTATGAAAATTTCGAATAATATAATAGCAAAATTTTGAGATCTTTAAAACTTACCACTATTAATACTTTGATCTCATGTTCTGATAATTTAGCTGGTTCATCTTTTCCAGTGCCTTCGAATTCAAGCAACACATCCAAGAAATCTTTCCTCTTCTCCATACCTTTCTTTCGTTCTTCCTCGCGTTCTTTGAGTAACATAGACATGATCTCCATGGCCTTCCCCATGTCTCGTGTCATCTTCTTCCTCAATTTTTGTAAATCAAACTTTCTAAGAAGTGGAAATATATCAGAAACATTAGCAATACCTGACCACTCCATGATTCCCTTCATAGCATTGAAGAAATCCGAGGCCTCCTCGGATTCTGGATCAGCCAAGTCTTTCGATAGAACCAAATTCCCTAGCATATTAAACGATGCTAGGAATACAAAACGCGTTACCTCAATTCCACTTCCTTTTTCAGCAGAACTCCCTGCTTTCTCTATCCATTTTAACATATTATCCACACATTTTCGCCTTATTGGAACTGTTTCACTGATTTTTTTGTGTACAAACATTTCCACAGTACATATCCGCCTTTGAAATCGCCAAAAGGAGCCATATCGGCCTATAGCCAGAGACCCTTGATAGTAATTATGTGCCAGATTTACATCGACCATTGGTCGATCTGCGAAGGAAGTATCATGGTTCTTAAATAATTCTGCAGCAGCATGAGCTGTTTGAACAACCATAATGTTTGTTGAGGGGCCAAGTTTTAACCCCAAAACAGGGCCATATTTCTGTTGTAGAACTGACATTTTTTTGTAAGGCTCTTTTCCTAGTTCAAACATGTTACCAAAAATTGGTAATCCAGGTGGTCCTGGAGGTAATTTGTAAGAACATTTAGTACTCTTTTTCTGAGAAAAAAATAGGATCAAAACTGGTAACAAGATGATTGCAGAGAAAAACAGATAGCTCCATTCCCATTCCATTTTTTTTTTGGTTGACTTTACTGGTTTGCTGTAAATTGTGTAATGATAAGCTCTTATTTATAATTATTTATTTTTGAAACATGGTCTGATAGATAAAGTTCTATTAAATGATTTCACCTATCTCATAACCCTTTTAACTTGGAATTGTTTATTCAATGGATCCTGAATTTTATATTGTGTCGGCTCAACCTACATAGATTTTGAAATTTAACGGGTCAAGTGGGACTAACCCCTCATTTAAAGGACCCTTAAAACAGCCAACCGAACCCTCTAAGTGGGTTGCAGTCTTGCAGTCCCAATTGAACTGACTTATATTGACAACTCTAATAATTTGATAACCTTTACCCCGAATGAGTGGGCACTAATATAGCAAAATAGTCGAATATAAGGAGTAATTAGGAAAACTAATGTCAAGAAAATGACAAAAGTCTCACATTAATGATTAATGAGATGGGTGAACTCTGTATAAGTCTTGGGCAATACTCCCTTGAGCTCGCTTTTGGGGGTTAAGTTAGGCATAATACCTAATTTCACATGATATTAGAGCAAGATAAAAGTTCAAAAGACTCGTTCACGCACCAGATGCTAAGCACTTATCGTGAAGTGGGGTGTTAAAAAATGACAATAATCAATGACAATTGACAAATGTGTATTGAATATAATAGATAAAAGTTCAAATATTGGCATCATGTCCACCTCTCTAGCCATATGCTCCTTCCGATCGAATTTACTTGTCAAATAGGGGTTCTACTTTTACTTGTTATTTTTGACGAATTGAGAAAGAATTTTTTTTTTCTATTATACTCTCAAATTATTAACATAAAGATAAAATAGTAAACTTATTATTTTAATTTTATTTTATAAATATATGTAGTAAATTCGAACCGAACGAGTGTCATGTCTATGTCAACTAGATAATGACTTTTGATTTTTCTTTTTAAATTAAACTTGTGGCCCATTTGACTTGTATTATTAGGTTGGGATTAACATTTTTAATGACTCAATAATATCAAGTTAATGATAAATTATGTCCACTAAATGATACACAATATTTTTTTGTTTGTGACAAAATAATTGAGATTACTAAGTAAAATAATAATTAATAAAATGTTGAAAAAATTGCTATCCAGTTGGCCCGTTGAAATTGATATGATAGAAGTTAAACCATAAAATTTCTTCAGTTCGAATCCATTTTTACTTGACATACCTTTTTTTCTTTTTTTTTTCCCATCCGGTGTCCAGAGTCCACATTGGAGCTCCGACTAAATCCAAATTGCACTTTGCAGGGCCCATTCGAGGGTGACGCTCCCAACATGATTTTCTCCATACCAGGGCTCGAACCCGAAACCTCTGGTTAAGGGTGAAGCACTCCCACCAGTGCACCACAACCCATGTTGGTGACATACCTTCTTTCGTTTCATATTTATATGACGTAATTTAATTTATTATGAAATTAAACAAAAGTAAAGAATGTTAAAAATTTATGGCCTTAAGAATATATAAGATTTGTGTAGCTATTAAAGCTTCTTATTAAAGTTAAACAAAAAAAATAAAATAAAATTATTTTACATAGAAAATATTTCATCTTTTTTTAAATGAACGAATAATAATAACTTTCGAGGGTAAAAAAGAGTAAAATAAGTTGATCGGCAGGGTCAAACAGTGTCTCTTTAATGTTAATTACGTGATTAAAACATGCTCAAGTATAATTAATTACTACGTCAAAGATAAGAACTCTTTTAAATAATTATATTCGCGTGTTATTGGCAAACTCAATAATATATTTCCACTTTATGCATGCAGTTCCTTTTTTAAGTAAAAAAATTGTTAGAATTAAATTTTAACTCATGTTACATATGGATTCCCATGGACTTATTAGTACAGTTAATTGTTAACTTAAAAGCTATGGAGTAGTATCTATTATTGTTCAATTTTATAGGAGTATTACTTAATTCATATTGATTCGACTTATATATAATTTTTTAAAACGTACTTAGAAGTGTATATTGTTAAATTATTTTTTCATGTCTTAGAATTTTAAATTTGACTATTATTATGTTATTCCCTCTTTTTCTTTTTACTTGACAAACTTCGACTTAATATACCTATTAAGAAAATATTGATTGCTATAGAGAGTTTATTATTTTATCTCTATTAATTGATAAGATTTCAAATATCTCTAATCATTATATTTTTCATAACATTACTTAATGTTAATAAATTAAAAATATAATAGATAAAAATATTATCATTTCTTAATTTGTAAAAAAGATAAGTAAAAAAAAAAATTAGACAAGAGGAAGTATATAGTTATTTAATATTAAGGATAATATGAGATACGTCTTCCTTGGGATTTGCCCATGTGATCGGTCCATAATAATATATTGTGTTTTGGACAATTTTCAATCAGTATTATTTATGGGTGTGTGACACAATTAAAAGGGATGACAAAGTCAATGTTTTCGTATAGATTATAGAGCTGTTAAAATAGGCTCTATATGATGTGACACAAGGTTTGAATTATTTTTTTTGGTTTCCCACTCGGTGTTTGATATTCACATTGGAGCCCGACTAAATTTGAATTTGCGTCGGAAAGTCCCACATTGGGTGGTAAAACGCTCCCTAACAAAGACGACTCCGTATCCAAGGGGGCTCGAACCCGAGACCTCTTGGTTAAGAATGAATGAATACTTACCACTTCACCACAATCCTTGTTGGTGTCAGAAGCTTTAAATTAATTTGAAGGTTATTTTTTTTTAGCTCTTGAAGATGTAATATAATTCGTTTTTGGCTTTTGAATAATTAAATACAGTATAATCTTTCGTTTTGATTAATTTATCCTATATTTTTAGTTTTTGTATATAGAGTTTATAATCACAAAATTTTTTAAAAAATTCTTGTCTTAAATCAAAACAAAATAAACAAAGTAAAATGGAGGGAGTATCATTTATTATTAAAATATTGTCCAAAAAGGATTAACCCGCGAAATTTTCACTCAAACCCGACCCACCCTTTTCCCTCTTCTTTTCTCCTTTTTGCAATTCACAAGTAATTTTCCCCTTCTTCTTCACATAAGAGGAAAATTGGGGAAATGGCGATGGAGATTTATCGAGCCCTAAGTCATGGCCTATCACCGCTGATTCACTTTCGCCTGCGGTGGCGCTAATTGCTCCTCCTCGAACATCCTCTCCGCTGGCGGCGAACTTCTACGATCAGTATGTATATGAGAATTAGTGTGTCATATTTGGAATTTGCAGTTAATCTGCCCAATTTGTTGATCGGTATATTTATCACTGCTTCTTTTTTCATCCTAATTTGAAATTTGTTTGCTGTAATGTGGAATTTGGTGAAGGAATATGCGCGAGTCATCTGATTAAATGCTGCGTAGAAAAGAGGAAACTACCACACCAGCACTGTGAGTCTCAATTTTGAATCTAAAGACTATATTTCTGTTTACATTATATTTTATTTTGATCCTTTGTTATTTCGCTAAGTTTTTGGTGATAAACAAATTTTGTGATGTGATAATGGTCTAACAGATTAATATTTTGCATTAATTGTTATAGTTTTTGTATGGTTTCTCATCTGACAGTGACAATGATCTTCTCTATATAAATACTCAAGAGTAGTTTAGTTTTCTTCTGCATAAAATGGAAGTTATTGTGGGGAGGTTTAGGGGAAAATGATCAAAATGGTCCCTAATGTATGGGCTTTGATTCCATTTGGTCCTTAATATATGAACTTCATGAAAATGGTCCTTTATGTATTATAAATTGTGATCAATTTGGTCCTTAACCCTAAAATTAATATATATATATTTTTTTGCCATCAAAATACACGGAATATGTAAAAGATGTGCTCGTTCAAGACTTTCCTTCCCCTGTTTCCAAAAATTCCAAAAGGGCACATCAAAATGTGGTTAACCAAAAGGGCAAAATCGCTCCTGACGGAGCGATTTTCTTCTAACAAAATTGACGCCGTTACTCCTTTAAAAAACATAAAAATCGCTGTCGATACAATTTTTTTTTTCTTTTTTCTTTAAAATCGCTGCTGTGATTTATTTTTTAACAAGTTTAAAAAATAGAAATAGCTGTTATAGTAGTCATTTTCTTAAAAAAGTTTAAATTTTTTTTTATTAAAAATTTCCGAGGCGAGGACTGCTTAAAAAAATAATGGGAAATCGCTAATTTCCCAATTGAGTTACTTTATAATTTTTTATTGTATACATTTTGATTGCTAGCAACAATTGGAAAATAATAATAAAAATTCTTACTGAAATCGCTGCTTTGGCAGCGATTATTTAAAAAAAAAATTTAAACTAAAATCGCTACATGTGGAGCGATTTTCCATTATTTTTTTAAGAAGTCCTCGCCTTGGGAATTTTTAACAAAAAAAAAAATTAAACTTTTTAAAGAAAATGGCTGCTATAGCAGCTATTTCTATTTTTTAAACGCTGCTGGGGTAGCGTTGATAAAAAAATTTCACACTAGCGATTTTAAAGAAAAAAGAAATTTTTTTTTGGACCGGCAGCGATTTTTATGTTTTTTAAAGGAGTAATGGCGTCAATTTTGTCAGAAGAAAATCGCTCTGTCAGGAGCGATTTTGACCTTTGGTTAAAAAAAATTAGATGTGCCCTTTTGGAATTTTTGGAAACAAGGGAAGGAAAGTCTTGAACGAGCGCATCTTTTACATATTCCGTGTATTTTGACGGACAAAAAAAAAAGAAATATATTAATTTTAGGGTTAAGAACCAAATTGATCACAATTTATGATACATAAAGGACAATTTCCATCAAGTTCATATATTAAGGACCAAAATGGAATCAAACCCATACATTAAGGACCATTTTGATCATTTTCTCGGAGGTTTAGAGAGGGTGTGCTTTTGGATTTATGCAAATTTTACTTGCTATCTTTACTTTTGCTGTTGTTACGGTTCCTTTTTCCTCCATGCTATGCAATGTTTTTTTCTAGTATTTGTTTTGACTTCCTTTCTTTGATATGCGGTGCCTGAGTTGGGGGTCTTTCGGAAATAATTTCTCTACTTCCATGAGGTAGGGGTATATTGTTGTTCTTACTATCTTTACTAGCTAGAACTTCATTATTACCCAAAAAAGAAAACCTAGAAGATCATTGTCTACTATGATATTTCCATTTCCTCTTCCTAATCAAGATTTATGTAGAAGAAGAAATTGGAAAGACTGAAATCTTCCAATTTCTGAGAACTAAACAGTAGCATGAACAACGATTACGTACATGGTAATAGTAGTTGAAGTCTTGTAGAATCTGTGTCGAAAAAGAAATTGCTTCAAGCTGACTACGTTTATCTTGGAAACTGATAGTTTCATGATCTCTCGGGTTCAATCCTAGCATAGACAAAATCACTACGTGATTTCTTTCCAATTGTCCTAGGTGGACAGAGTTACTTGGTTCATATTGTTGGGAGGAGGTGACATGTATTCTGTGGAATTAGTCGAGGTGCGCATAAGTTGGCTCAGATACCATAGTTATTAAAAGAAAAGAAGAGAGTATGTGTTTTTGTATTTTATTTCTTTCATAAAGGGTTATGTTAGAATGGATGCGTCCACCAGTGATCATTGGACCAGTCCCTCGACATAATATTAGTGCGGAAAATAGATAACTCAAAGTAAATCAAGCACAAGGATTTTACGTGGAAACCCCTTGCTCAAGGGCGGTGAAAACCACGACCTGTACTCACAGGATTTCAACCCAAACTCCATCACTCAAACGGAGCAAAGTTTCAGATTACAAACTCTTGCAACTTAGGAATTAAATCTCTTTAATCCCTTCCCCCTTACGGTAGCAACTCTACAACAAAGGAAACTAAGCAATAACTGTATTTCCCACTAAACCAATTAACTCTAATTGATCTAGACTTTAAGAACCCAACAAGGCTAACCACCAACTCTGATCTCGATGATAAGAGCATAAACAAGCAGCAACTCTGCTGCACCACACATCAACTAACTCTTGTTGACATTCCTAGGCAACTCTACCCAAGAGAACATCAAAACAATGATGCAAAAAGGCTTGACTAAAAACGTAGATGATTCAACTAACTAGCTCTAGTTAATACGACTCAAATTAAAGACTTAGACAAGCAACTGATCTACTAGCCTTTATAACTTAGGAATAGATTTACAATATAAGAACATAAAACACAAAGCTCAAAAATACAACAACGACGCTTCAGCACTTCATTAGGTCCTTTGTTGAGTATGAACAATGTTCATCCTTGAAGATGACTTCTTCTTTGTGAGCTTATGAATTTTCAGAAATTTTACTTTGTTTGTCAAATCTTGAGTTTGTGTCTTTTGAGAAGAGACTATATCAAATGGACCCAAACCCCTGAGGACGACATCATTGCCAAAGAGCTTGCTTCTCTAAAAAGACGTGCACCAACCATATAAGAGTTGACAACTTTTTGACAGCTGTTTTTTTGTCTGTTTCACGTACGCAGTCTTTCCGGGACCAGGTCCCTTGCAGTGTGTTCTTTGATGCTTGAGTTCTTGAAAAGACTTGCTTAGCTCTCTCTCTTTTTGAATGATTAATGTTGTTTGTTTATTGTTGTATATATCAATCACCAACACGAGTTTTGACCACTAAAACAAACAACCTCGTCCGCCCTTCCTATTGGTGAAGTACGGTTGGTGAAACAACTTTACAACTGTACACCATTTTGAACTTGGATGAGAGCACTCTGCCAGGGATCGGGTCCCTGCATTTGTGAGGATCATCAAAACACCTAGAATACAACATGTTAGTTTGTCCACATAGAGCGACATACGACTTGTACCAATCCAACAATTTCTTATTGCTTACAAAGGAGACATGATTTCCAAATATAATATTATGTTGGTTATGGGATATAATATTGCCTTGCTTAGATGGTTTGGCTTGGGACATCCATAATGAAGGTCTCAAATTCGAAATCCCTTGTCTGCAAGAGTAGAGGGTTTGTCTACTGGGTCGAGCTAGTTGAACGGGGCTTGTGTAGTGCAGTTTACCGATTTTGTGTGGTTTGCGAGCTATTGCATAAAAATGGAGTTTACGATATTGTATTTCTCTAGATCTCTTTGAAGTTGAAAACCAAAAAGACTTGCTAGCCTTCAATAATTCATATCTTATAGGAACAAAATTAAAAAAAAATCCTAGTGTAGACGACAAGGATTTTTTCAAGATAGATAATCACTTCTTTAAATGTGAGATTGAGGTTACTCAGAACCCTCTGGCTCCAGAATGGAGGGTGGTTCCAGAAGCCCAGGTGCCAACATCAACATAACTTGCCCACACACCTTGTAGACACGTAATTTTTGACCGAACTTAAGGTATTACACCTTTTTTTTAGTACATGAATATTGCTTTTTTATATAAATCAAATATTTTTTTTATTTTATTTTTATTTTTTTCATCGTATTTTAGTAAGTTTATTTTAAAAGATTAGGAAACTACAAAAAACATACGTTTTATTTTAATGTATATTTAATAAAATAAACTAGTGTTTCTTAATTATTTTTTAACTAGCTTTTTTTTTATATATATATTTATATTAATTAAGAATAATTAGTTAATATTTTTAATTATTATATTTTATATTTATATATATCTACACTACCCCACAACCCCATTTCACCTCACTACACCATAATCCCCCCCACTATACACACATACTCACACGTCTACACACTACACCACTACACCACTACTGTCTACACACACATCTACACACTACTACACCTACATTTCCCATATATAGACAACACCATATACACATACAGGGAGAGACAAAAAAAAAACAGAAAAAAGGAAACAAGAAAAAGCACAATCTGCAAATACAAAGAAACCAAAAAATACACATCCTTGTTGGATTCTTCTTTTAAAAATTCACCAACACATTCACATCTTTTCTTCCTTACCCATTTTTTTTCATATCAACACAAACACATATACCATCACAAACAACCTACAAAAGTTGTGGGTGTTCTAATCGAGCTTCGGTTAAGATTTTGCGGTATTCAACTTTACTTTATCTTTTTATTTAATTTATTTATGGAATTTGATGTAATTATTATGATAAGTTTTCTTACACTTTTATTTTATTCATAATTTGATTAAAATGAAGAATGTGTTAAGTGTTATATCTCTTTAATGAATGAAAGTAACTTTATTGGTGGTTATTTTTATTTATCTATTTTCGTTCATTAGTTGTGATGTCTTAAAATGAATGGGTCATGATGTTGTTCATTTCTTGATTTCGATGCTAATAATGATAAAGTAGGAATTATTGGGTTCACAAAATTATTGTTGTTTTATTTATTAAATAAAGAATGAGATTTATTTTAGCAATTCGTCATTGTTTTGTTGGATTAATAAAAA